CAAATCCAAAGGGGGAGACTCTGATGGGAGCTGCCCCATGCTCTAAATCTGCGGGTGTCTCCCAGCATTCCCAGTTCCTGCCCTCAGAAACACAAGCAAACAGATAAAAAAAAAGGCAGCGAGCGATGCCGATGGTATTCCAGCGTTTCGAGCTGGTGGAGAGACTGGTTCCATTCACAGGCGTTTGAAATGACACTGGTTTTCCCGTTAAACGCGACCTCGTGCGAGGTGCAAAGGATCCGTCGCTCCTTCAGCGTTCAAACCATCCAGTCGTTTTGTTTTTCCGAGCGCCGCGTCGTGTTCCATGCGGGATTCAAACCCTTCGGGGTGCAGGAGGTGTCCCTGCTTTCTCGAGGACCGTCCTCTGTCACGCATGAGTTGTAACAGGATTTAGGATCCTTCCTGGAAAGCGGAAAACTTCCCGACTCCTGCTTCTTCCCCCCAAACTATTCTGTGATTTAATGGAGCGAACGAACGAGGCTGGAAATCGCCAATCCGGACTGAGATTTTGCTCTGGATTCAGCGCGCCGTGGCGCCGGGCCGGTGTTCCTCTGCCCTATAAAAGAACATATTCCTGAAGCATTTGTAGCATTTTAATTAGTTTTTTTTCCCTCTCTTGTCTCCTAAAACTGTCCTGCCTGCGGCGTTGGACCCATTCTGGGAGGAAAAACTCTTTTGGATGCTTCCCAGCTGTCTCACTTATCGCTCCGGTCGCTAACGAAGTACCCGGCCAGCGCCTGGCACAGAGGAACCCTGGTCTTGGGCTGAAAAAGCAATTCCGTGCCGGTGCTGCGCGGTGTCTCCTCGTTAACCTGCTCTCAGCTCCGTCTTCTCAAACTTCCCTAAATTCCTTGCGTCGTGAGGATTTGCGTTGCCTGAAGTAGCTCGGCTTTCTCCGTGGTTTCTTGTGCGGGCGCCGCTGCGGAGTCTCGGTTGCCCCGTGGCAAATGGTCCCTGAAGCCGTGACTGAGTCGGGCATTGTCTCCCCAAATCCATCGGGGATTATTTGCTGTCCCTGGGAAGGGAATCTGCCTGGGTGGCTGGGAATTCTGTCTGGGTATCAGTGCGCTGGAGAACTGGCAGGGAACTGGGTATTGTCTGGACGGCTTTTTGTTAGTCTTCAGTGGAAAATTGCCCCTGTCTTGCACAAAAAAACCCACAGCCCACCCTGAATTAAACTTGAAAACAATCCAAAGCGCCTGCGTTCCGAACAAACGCCCCGAAAAGCCTGGGAAAAGCTCCATGAGCAGCTGCTGTGCCAGTGACCCCTCGCCTGGCTTCGTCTCACACAAAGCAATTAAACAAATTAAAAGGCTCGAGCTCGTCATCTTCCTGAAAGCCGAAGGCGTAAACTGTTCCAGCACCGTGTGGGCAACCAAAAAGCTGAGCCAGGGTGGCTCGTGGTGGCCTGGGCGACTCAAATTCACCTCCCTTCTATGTGCCACCCTGGCACAGCAGCCTCGTCTCGCTCGGCGCTCGCCACGGGAGAGCTTCCGTGGGGATTTGGAGGTATTTAGCTCCCATGGGATTGGGAGACCTTTGGCTTGGAGCCCTTTTATCAGCCAGGAGTCACCATGATCTGTCCTGCCGATCTCCTGGCTCCGCAGCCACGGCTGGGGGGGGACCAGGGGCGGGCTTTTCCTGCGGCTGCCTTTCAAACTCCTCAAATTTAGATGGGATTCGAGCGTTAGACACCACCAGGTTAATTTTTCTTGCCCAAACCTTGGCAAAAATGAAGGGCGGGTGAACACAGACCAGCTTGAGGGATCCCCAGTCCTCATGGCTCCGGGGATTCCAAAATTAAGGGGACAGGATGGCTGGCTCAGATTTAGATGGGATTCGAGCGTTAGACACCACTAGGTTCGTTTTTCTTGCCCAAACCTTGGCAAAAATAAAGGGCGGGTGAATATAGACCAGCTCAAGGGATCCCCAGTCCTCACGGCTCCGGGGATTCCAAAATTAAGGAGACAGGACAGCTGGCTCGGTGCTCAAACCCCTTCCAGCAAATTTGGTGCTCCAGGAGAGGGAGGTGCCTGCTTAAAACCATCTTCTCCTGGAAAGACTAATTCCCAAAATCAAGGAGGGCTGATGTTTGAGGCTCTGCTTTCCTAACTGGGATGGAAAAACCACTTACTGGAACAAAGCTGAGCCTGGTTTCAGCCTGTGCTTCACCGTTTGGTTAGACGTCCTCCT